GGAAAAAAAAAAAAAAAAAAAAAAAAAAAGAACAGAGAAGATCACAATGAAAAACAACAGGGCTTCACCCCTTGCACTCCTATTTCACCCCATCCTACTCCACTCTCACAACATAGAGGCAGCCCCTTTAATGCTTTCTGTTTTGAATCTGGAAGTTATTTCCAAAATCCTAGCTAAAATGCTGATATTTCTTTTTTTTCCGAGACGAAGTCACTCTGTCGCCCAGGCTGGAGTGCAGTGGCTTGATCTCAGCTCACTGCAACCTCTGCCTTCTGGGTTCAAGTGATTCTCACGCCTCAGCCTTCCGAGTAGCTGGGACTACAGGCGTGCACCACCACGCCCAGCTAATGTTTTGTATTTTTAGTAGAGAAGGGGTTTCACCGTGTTAGCCAGGATGGTCCTGATCTCCTGACCTCGCAATCCACCCACCTCAGCTCCCAAAGTGCTGGGATTACAGGCGTGAGCCACCAAACCTGGCCTGAAAATGCTCATATTTCTATTTCTTTTCTTTTCTTTTTTGAGACGAGGTCTCACTGTGTCACTTGGGCTGGAGTGCAGTGACCTGATCTTGGTTCACTGCAATCTCTGTTTCCCAAGCTTAAGCAATCCTCCTACCTCAACCTCCTGAGTAGCTAGGTCTATAGGTCACACCACCACATCCAGCTAATTTTTTTTCTGTATTTTTGGTAGCGATGATGTTTCACCACATTGCTGATCTCTAACTCCTGAGCTCAAGCCATTTGCCTGTCTTGGCCTCCAAAAGTGCTGGGATCTGAGCCACTGAACCTGGCTTCTATTTCTTTATATATGAAATTTAGTTGATATTGACTTTCTAATATAAAACATGAACTGTTACATAAGCAGAATATGTATTAAAAAACATGATTTTTTTTTTTTTTTTTTTTTTTTTGGTACCTCAGGCTGGAGTGTGGTGGCACAATCTTGGCTCACTGCAACCTCCACCTCCCAGGTTCAATCGATTCTCCTGCTGCAGCCTCCCGAGTAGCTGGGATTACAGGCATCTACCACCATGCCCGGCTGATTTTTTGTGTCTTTAGTAGAGATGGCATTTCACCATGTTGGCCATGCTGGTCTCACACTCCTGTCCTCGTGATCTGCCTGCCTTGGCCTCCCAAAGTGCTGGGATTACAGGCGTGAGCCACCACACCTGGCTCTATTTTTTTTGTTTTTCATTTTTTTTTTTTTTTTGAGACAGAGTCTTGCTCTGTCTCCCAGGCTGGAGTGCAATGGCGTGATCTCGGCTCACTGCAACCTCCGCCTCACGAGTTCAAGTGATTCTCATGCCTCAGCCTCCTGAGTAGCTGGGATTACAGGTGCATGCCACCACATCTGGCTAATTTTTGTATTTTTAGTAGAGACAGGGTTTCACCATGTTGGCCAGGCTGGTCTTCAGCTACTGACCTCATGATCCGCCAATCTCAGTCTCCAAAAGTGCTGGGATTACAGGCGTGAGCCACTGCACCCGGCCTATTCCATCTATTTTTGTCAGTGTTTCTGGTGAGAGAAGCAGCTTGTAATTCCTCTTTCTCTCCTCACTTCTACATGTGACCTTTTCTCGGCTTCACATTAACAAAAGGCAAAATTGTGGGCATTTGCAGTCTTTGCTGCCATTAAGTCTTCTGGATCTTTCTACAGGTTGACTCTAACAGTTAAAGTCCAGTCAAGGATATTTACATTATTATGGCCACATAAACATTGGTTAAGCTCAGGCCACACAATGGGCTGGAATTACACTTGCTTCTCCCTGTAGTCAATCACACAATCCATGTGTCACTCAAAGAACAATGTGGCAAGCAAGCACTAAGGTCCTAAATTGATACTGTTTCAATTGAATACAATTATGTCATGTTATAGCTTGTTTTTCATTTATTTTATTTTATTTTTTATTTTTATTTTTTTGAGAGACGAAGTCTTACTCTGTTGCCCAGGCTGGAATGCAATGGCACAATCTCTCCTCACTGCAATCTCTGCCTCCCAGGTTCTCCTGCCTCAGCTTCCCAAGTAGCTGGGACTACAGGTATGTGCCACCACACCCAGCTAATTTTTGTATTTTTTTTTTTAGACAGAGTTTTGCTCTTGTTGCCCAGGCTAGAGTGCAATGTCTCAATTTCGGCTCACTGGAACCTCCACCTCCTGGGTTCAAGAGATTCTCCTGCCTCAGCCTCCTGAGTAGCTGGGATTACAGATGTGCACCACCATGTCTGGCTAATTTTTGTATTTTTATTAGTGACGGGGTTTCTCCATATTGGTAAGGCTGGTCTCGAACTCCCAACCTCAGGTGATCTGCCCACCTTGGCGTCCCAAAGTGCTGGCATTACAGGCACGAGCCACAACGCCTGGCCCTAATCTTTGTATTTTTTAGTAGAAATGGGGTTTCATTACATGTTGGCCAGGCTGGTCTCGAACTCCTGAACTCAGGAGATCCACCTGCCTCAGCCTCCTAAAGTGCTGGGATTACAGGCAGGAGCCACTGTGCCCAGCATATTTATTTGTTATTTATTTATTTTATTTATTTTTTATTTAAACTCCCCCACTCACCTATTTATTATTTTATTTTATTTTATTTTATTTTTGAGACAGAGTCTTGCTCTGTCACCAGGTGCCAGGCTGGAGTGCAGTGGCGCAATCTCGGCTCACTACAACCTCTGCCTCCCGGGTTCAAGCAATTCTCCTGCCTCAGCCTCCCTGGTAGCTGGGACTACAGGCGCATACCACCACACCCAGCTAAATTTTTTTTTGTATTTTCAGTAGAGACAGGGTTTTACCATGTTGGCCAGGATGGTCTCGATCTCTTGACCTTGTGATCCACCCGCCTCAGCCTCCCAAAGTGCTGGGATTACAGGCTTGAGCCACTGCACCCGGCCTTATTTTATTTTTTATAGAGACAGGGTCTTGCTCTGTTGCCCAGGCTTTGGTGCAATGGGATGATTGTAACTCACTACAATCTCAAACCCCTGGGCTCAAGTGATCCTCCTGACTTAGCCTCCAGAGAAGCTGGGACTACATGGGCAGACCATCACACCTGGATAATTTTTCTTTTATTTTGTGTAGAGATGGGGGAGTGTCTCACCATGTTACCCAGCTGGTCTTGAACTCCTGGCCTCAAGAGATCTTCTTGTCTCAGCCTCTCAAAGCTCTAGGATTACAGGTGTGAGCCATGATGCCCAGCCATATTTATTTATTTTTATTACCATTATTTTTGAGACACGATCTTGCTGTGCAGCCCATGCTTGAGTTCAGTGCCCAGGTCATAGCTCATGGAAACCTGGAATTCCTGGGCTCCAGTGATTCTCCTGCCTCAGTTTCCCAAGTAGCTGGGACTACAGGTGCACACCACAATGCCCAGCTGTTTTTTATTTACATCACGATTTCAGTTTCGAAAATTTTCTGAATATTCTAACTGCTTTTCTTTCTTTGTATACAGCTAGTGCTCGACTTACAACCACGGTTGGGCCCATGGACTGGTCGTAACACGATTTGGTCGTAAGTTGAGTAGGCTATATGTACAGTTGAAATGGTGCACGCGGAGATGGTAGTGCTGCTGGAAGCTGGTCCGCACTGTCGTACGCCCAGCTGGGCAACGTTTGCGCTGCCAGACGCGGAGCAGTTGTGGCTAGCGACTGTGGTCATAAAGTCGAATGGTCGTAAGTTGCATAGGTGGTAAGTCGATCAATACCTGTACTTTTTTTTTTTTTTTTGACAGAGTCTTACTCCGTTGCTCAGGCAGTTATGCAGTAGTGTGATCACAGCTCCCTGCAGCCTTGACCTCCCAGGCTCAGGTGATCCTCTCATCTCAACCTCCTGAGTAGCTGGGACTACAGGCATGCATGACTACGCCCAGCTCTATGGATTCTTTTCTGGACTCTCTAAGTATACTCCATAGTACTCTGCATCTTGAATTATCTCTGTTTCCTCCAGTGTCAAATTTCATTTGTTAATTTCGGACTTTCTTTTCTTTTTTGAGACAAGGTCTCCCTCTGTTGCCCAGGCTAGAGTGTAGTGGTGCAATCATGACTGACTGCAGCCTCAAACTCCTGGGCTCAAACAATCCTCCTACCTTGGCCTCCTGAGTAGCTGACACTACAGGCGTGGGCTAATTTTTTAAAAACTTTTCTGGAGAGATGGGGTCTTGCTATGCTGCCCAGGCCCATCTTGAACTCCTAGCCCTCAGCCTTGGCCTCCTGAGATTGCAGGTATGAGCCACCGTGCAGGGCCAATTTTGGTCTTTTACACGCTGCTGGTCCTCCTCGGATGCATGGCAATCATCCGCAATGACGGGCTTCAGAACACGCTACCCCAGAGAAGGCACCTCGGCATGGTGAGTGTTTTAAGCTGAAAGAATTTAAGAAAACTGCAGAAGTCAAAGGGTGTTTCTTACCTTCTCCTGCCCTTTTCCCTAAACCAGGTCACACAACCTGGAACTCCCTGCCCTTTTCCTGAAGAAGCTAATAGTACCCTCATGTGAGAGGTGCCCTCCCTGCACCTGGAGGAAAGGAGCGTCCTTATCTCTGCAGACACAGGGACACAGAGAAGAATCTGAACCAACAGGCCTTCCTGAGTTCCCCACCTCCCCGGTGATCCACAGGAGGTGCCCGCACAGGCACAGCCCCGTCGCTGCCGTGGCCGCACACAACGGGCCTCGCCCTGCTGGTGCAAGCCTGGGCTAGGCGCTCCACGCTCCGAGGTCGGGTGGGCGCCCACTCAGTCCGCTGCGCGCACAGCGCCCCGGCGAGAGGCTCGGGGTTTAATCACACACTGCGTCCGCCCGGCTTCCTGTCCCCGGCGCCCCCTCCCGCCCCGTTTCCCTTGCCCCTCCCTCTCCCCAGCCTGATCCGCCCCGCCGGCTCCCCCTCTCCCGATCCCTCGGGTCCCGGGATGGGGGGGGCGGTGAGGCAGGCACAGCCCCCCGCCCCCATGGCCGTCCGTCGGAGCCAGAGGCTGAGGGGGCGCCGGGGGGAGCCGGGCACCGCCCTGCTGGCCCCACTAGCGCTGGGCCTGGGCCTGGCGCTGGCCTGCCTCGGCCTCCTGCTGGCCGTGGTCAGCCTGGGGAGCCGGGCATCGCTGTCCACCCAGGTGAGGCCCCGCTGCGCACCCCTTCCTGGACACATCAGGAGCGGCGACTGCAGAGGGACAGCTGGGGGCCGGGTGGGATGAGGGTAAGGGGGAGGGAGGGTGGGTGGAGGGCCAGATGTCAGGTGGAGCAGCACAGGGTGACGCTGCCTCCTTCCCAGCAGGAGCCTGCCCAGGGGGAGCTGGTGGCAGAGGAGGACCAGGACCCTCCGGTGAGTGGGCGTGGGCGGGTCTGCAGGCCGCCGGGGCATGGGAAGAGTGCACAGCTGAAGGGTCGGGTGTGTGCCGCTGTGCCAGCCGTACTCGAGGTGTGTGCAGGGTGTGTGTGAACCCAGTGCGTGCATGGGCGTGTGTCTGCAGGGATGTGTGTGCGTGGTGACAACTGTGGGTTTGTGCCACCTGAGTCTGAGGTGCTTATTGGCTGGGGGTGGCGTGGGTGAATGAGAGAGGTGAGGCTGTGTCAAAGAGGGGTGCGGTTATGTACAGGGTTCGTGTCCTCTGTGCCTGGTGACTGGGTGTGGGCGTATATGCAATGCGCCAGTTGAGTTTAGGGTCTGCATCAGTTGTGGGTGGGGGGGAAGAGTGGCTGGTCTAGAGGAAAGGGTGAGGACTGGGGCCTGACTCCCAGCCTCACCTTCACCGGGGCCCCAGCTGTTGTTGGCTGAGGGGATTGATCTGTCTCTAAGACTTCTGTGCCTATTGCTGGCTGGTGGCTCTCCTGATAGGCCCCATCTGTGTCACTGTATATCTCTGGGAGTCCCTGGTTGAACCCTGCCCTAATTCCCCTAGGAACTGAATCCCCAGACAGAGGAAAGCCAGGACCCTGTGCCTTTCCTGAAACAACTAGTTCGGCCTCGCAGAAGTGGTGAGCATCCCTCTATTCTGACCTCAGGAAGCAGGCAGAGCAAAAACCATTATCCACATGGAGAAACTAAGGCGCGGAAGGTGAAAGGAGACTCAGTCACACAGCGAACCAGCCAAGACTCGAACCTAGGGATTCTGGCCCTCCTCTGAAACTCCGTCTGTCACACCTTACCCAAACATGGAGGCAGGGTGGCCATGAGTTAGGAGAACTCCGGGGATTCTGATGGAGACTAGGCTGGGGAGTCGGAGGCCTGGGCCCCAACAGGCAGAGAGACTTAGGAATGGGATGAGGGGATGACCAGACAACCACATGGCCAAGTCAGCGGGCAACTGTCCTGGTTCCCACCTGTTATCTTGGTGTGATTAGCAGCAGCTTCCTGTTTTGCTCTCAGAAGTATCCCAGTGTGGATGACAAATTTGTGTGTGTGTGTGTGAGAGATGGAGTCTCGCTCTGTCATCAGGCTGGAGGGCAATGGCGCGACCTTGGCTCATTGCAACCTCCGTCTCCTGGGTTCAAGTGATTCTCCTGCCTCAGCCTCCCGAGTAGGTGGGACTACAGGTGCGCCACCATCATGCCCAGCTAATTTTTTGTATCTTTAGTAGGTAGAGCATTTCACAAGTTGGCCAGGCTGGTCCCGAACTCCTGACCTTGTGATCTGCCCTCCTCAGCCTCCCAAAGTGCTGGGATTACAGGCATGAACCGCCCCACCCGGCCTGGATGACAAATTATAGTCATTCTACTTACAGAGGAAGATGAGGCCTGAGCTTCTAAGGCCAGAAGTCTGGACAAAAGTAAAGATGCCAGGGTCCCTGAGAGTGGAATGGGGTTGGGAGAGTGGCTCTGGGACCCCCAGGGGGGCCCGCTTTGCTCATCTGTCTTTTCCTTGATTCTCAGCACCTAAAGGCCGGAAACCACGGGCTCGCAGAGCAATTGCAGCCCACTATGAAGGTGGGTGATGGGTTAGCCATGCCCAGCGGAGGGGGGCAGGTGGCACAGGGGCAGGGCAGGTCTCATCAGCCCTTTCCTGTGATTTACAGTTCACCCACGACCTGGACAGGACGGAGCGCAGGCGGGTGAGACCCCTCCCTCCACAGCACTGGCCTCCTGGGAAAAGGGCCCCTCCAAACCTTTGACTTCCCACTCCCTTCCCTGCCACCAGCCTCAGAACCGCAGAAGTCAGTTCATGAAGGTCTTGGTTCTCTCAGTGACCCAGGCATGGGACCCCATGAAAGACCCTGGAACTCTGTCCAGCTCCCCCAGTCAATCACTGGCCCAGTTCTCTCCTTCAGCCCTCACTCTTCTCCAAGACGCACTTTTCATTCTTTTTTTCCTTCTGTCTCCTCCGTATTCCATGCCCTGATGATTATCTCTCTCGAAATGCTGCTGTATCTGCTCATCTTTTCCATTCTACCCTACCCGCTACCTCAGCACCTGACTTAAGAACCTCAAACCCAGCCTCTGGCTCCTTCCCCACTCCACACCCTCCCCACCCTTCCACTCCATCCCACCTGTGCTGCTGCGCTGAGCCCCCAAACCTCACTTTTGTTATGGTATTGGCTCTCTGCCTAGCTTCCCGTCTCTTCAAGGCCTGGTCTCAACCTGATTTCCCTGCACTTTTATGCTGTCTCCATGCTCACGGGGCTGACACCTCTGCCCCCGGTATGCCTCTTCTGGACTTTGCACATACCATACCCTCACCCAGAATGTCCTTCCACTGTGAGAGGCAGGGAGGCATGAGGGGTGCTCAGTCAAGGGATTCACAGCAGAGATGGAGAGAAGTGGATGGGGTCGGCATGCATCCTGAAGATATTACTGACTTACGGATTGGAGGTAAAGAATAAAAGAAAGCGAGGAATCACAGATGACTTCTAGATTTTTTTTTTCTTTTTTTTTTTTTTAAGACAGGGTTTCACCATGTTGGTCAGGCTGGTCTTGAGCTCTCGACCTCAGGTGATCCGCCTGCCTTGGCCTCCAAAGTGTTTGGATTATAGGCGTGAGCCACCAAGCCCGGCCAGTTTTTTTTTTTAAGACAGAGTCTCACTCTATCGCCCAGGCCAGAGTACAGAGGCATGATCTTGGCTCACTGCAACCTCTGCCTCCCAGGTTCAAGCGATTCTCCTGCCTTAACCTCCTGAGTCACTGGGACTACATGTGTGCACCAGTTAATTTTTGCATTTTTAGTAGAGACGAGGTTTCACCATGTTTGCCAGGCTGGTTTTGAACTCTTGACCTCCCATGACCTGCCCACCTCGGCCTCCCAAAGTGCTGGGATTACAGGCGGGAGCCACCTCGCCCAGTGGACTTCTAGATTTTTAACTTGGGTATCTCTGGGAAGAATGATGCCATTTCCTAAGAAGGGTTGACCAAGAAAGAAATAGGTTGGGAAGTATGTAAGATAATTATTAATTTTGAGATGTCTAAAATAAATAAGTGGATAAATGATGATAAAGTGAATTCCACAAATAAATGGCTGGACATTGTTGACTAGCTCAGGCTAGATCAGGATGAATAAAGAAAGCAGTCATGGCCATATGGTTGGCCTTTTTTTTTCTTTTTGAGACCGAGTTTTGCTCTTGTTGCCCAGGCTGGAATGCAATGGTAAGATCTCAGCTCACTGCAACCTCCACCTCCCAGGTTCAAGTGATTCTCCTGTGTCAGCCTCCCGAGTAGCTGGGATTACAGGCATGCACCACCACCCCCAGCTAATTTTTTGTATTTTTAGTAGAGATGGGGTTTCTCCATGTTGGTCAGGCTGGTCTCAAACTCCCAACCTCAGGTGATCCACCTGCCTCTGAAAGTGCTGGGGTTATAGACATGAGCCACCGTGCCTGGCCTTTTTTTTATTTTTGAGACAGAGTCTTGCTCTGTTGCCCAGGCTGGAGTGCAGTGGCAGGATCTCGGCCTGCTGCAATCTCTGCCTCCTGAGTCCAAGTGATTCTCCTGTGTCAGCCTCCCAAATAGCTGAGATTATAGGTGGGCACTAATTTTTGATTATAGGCTAATTTTTGTATTATTTGTGACGGGTTTTGCCATGTTGGCCAGGCTGGCCTTGAACTCCTGACCTCAGGTGATCTGCCCGCCTTGGCCTCCCAAAGTGCTGGGATTACAGGTGTGAGCCGCTGTGCCAGGCCTACGGATGGCATTTAAAGCCACAGGATTGGATGAGACACCAGGTGAAAGAAAGGCCCCACGAATGAAGCCGTGAGGCCCTTGGACATCTCAAAGTGGAGCTGAAGGGGAAACCAGCAGAGCCTGAGAAGCAGCCAGAGAAAGAGGAGGAAACCTAGGGAGGGTGGCATCCTAGATTCAGAGAAACCACCGTTTCAAGGAGGATGTGGCTGTCTGTGTTCAGTGCAGCTGAGAGATCACATGAGAGAACAGAGAAATGCTGGCTGGGTTTGGTAACATGCAAGTCAACTGCTGACCTTCAAGAGGGGAGTTTCAGTGGCATGGTGAGAACAGGAAGGCAGTGTGCATTGGGTTGAGAAGAAAATGGGAAATAAGGAACTAGAAGCAGTGACAAGTCTTTTTAGAAGTTTCTCTGAAACAAGGAGTAGAGAAATAGGCCAGTAGGTGGAGAGGGGTGTGGACCAAGGAAAAATTTAGTTCTGTGAACAATACTATTTTCATCTGAACATGTACAGAGGGCTTTCTTGGGATAGGCACTGTGTCTAGCACTTGTGTTTGGTCTTACCTAATCCTTACAACAGCCTTAAAAAGAAGATACTGTAATTACCTCCATTTTACAGATGGAGGTTACACAACTTGTCTGAGGTCATGAGATACTAAGTGGTAGAGCCAAGATTTGAATCCAGCTAGACTGTGCCTGTGTACTGCACATGGTCTGCCTGAGAGGCAAGGTGGCTGGTGCAGGGGTGAGGGGTCCATGCAGGGGCCACATCCAAAAAGGGGAGAGGGAAGTTTCTAGAGAGAAGACAGGACACATCTCCCGCCCTTACCAGAGGGTCAAAGCGGAACAAGAGAACAGGTGGGTTTGTAGATTAGCTGGGGGGAGATGAGGGAGCCTTGTGTCGATGACTTCTTGGTCCTCTGTACAGCTAGGGAGATGGAGACAGGGGATTTGAGGAGAGATGGTACAAAATCTCATATTGCTCAGTACGCAAGCAAGCTTTGTGGGGAATGTAAGATTGCCAAGCAGTACAGAATGTCCAGGTGAGTTTTGTGGCTGGAGACTAAGGACACCAGGCAGGCCCTCCGTGATGCTGGGCACACCATGCCCTTTGGCTACAAGCAGCCTTTCCTCAGTCTGGCTCCATAGCTAGGAATGCCGTCTCTTCTCTGCCCTCCCTACTCTTCATGCCAGGTCAACCTTCCTCCCCTCTGTGTAGACCACTTATTTTGGAATGTCTGGAATGAATACAGACATTCATTCATTCATTTACGCAACATGCACTGAGGACCTTCTGTTTTCTAGGGGCCAGGCGAGTTGCCCAGAGTGACTAATATCCAGACCCATTTTTTTTTTTTTTTGAGGTAGAGTTTTGCTCTTGTTGCCCAGGCTGGAGTACCATGGTGCGGATCTCAGCTCACTGCCCTCTTCCCAGGTTCAAGTGATTCTCCTGCCTCAGTCTCCCGAGTAGCTGGAATTACAGGCACCTGCCACCATGCCTGGCTAATTTTTTTGTATTTTTAGTAGAGACAAGGTTTCACCACGTTGGCCAGGCTGGTCTCGAACTCCTGACCTCAGGCGATCCATTCACCTCGGCCTCCCAAAGTGCTGGGATTATAGGTGTGAGCTACTGTGCTGAGTCTCAGACTGATTCTTAAGGAATCACTGTCTAGGAGAGAAGACAAGCACATAAATTTGTAATTACTTGCTAGATGAGGTGGCTCATGCCTATAATTCCAGAACTTTGGGAGGTCAAGGTGGGTGGATCACTTGAGGTCAGGAGTTCCAGATCATTCTGGCCAACATGTGAAACCCCGTCTCTACTAAACATACAAAGAAAAAAAGTTAGCCGGGTGTGGTGGCACACACTTGTGATCCCAGCTACTCAGGAGGCTGAGGCACGAGAGTCGCTTGAACCCAGGAAGCAGAGGCTGCAGTGAGCCGAGATCATGCCACAGCACTCCAGCCTGGGTGACGGAGTAAGACTCCACCTCTAAATAAATAAATAAATAAATAATAAATGTAATTACAGTACAATATGACAAAAACAATAAGGAAAGTGGCCAAAGATACCTGGCAGCACAGGGGCAGACAGATATGGCTGTGGAGTCAGGGATTCAAGGCCACTGGGCCTTGAAACAGGAGCGTAAGACAGGCAAAGGGTCAAGGCTGGGGGACTCTAAGTTCAGTGTGGCAGAAGCAGAAAGTGCTAGAGGAGTGAGATGAGGACGAGGCTGGAGACAGAAGCCTGCAGGTGGGGACTATTCTGAGGAGAGCCATCGGAAGTAGTAAGGCGAGGTGAGGCGGGCTCACATCTGCATCTTAGAGACTCGTTCTGTGGCTTCGTGTAGGGAATAAACTGGAGGAAGGAAGAATGGAAACGGAATGCTGTGAGAAGCCAGATGGAGGTAGCAGATTTGGGGAGAGGTGAGAGATCTATTTAGGAGGCAGAACTGATAGCAGCTGGTGATGGATGAATGACATGGCAAAGGAGAGGCAGCCTTGAGTATCTTACCGGTGGCAGAACCAGAAGCCAAATGCAGGAGACAGTAAAGCAAATGTGGGATGCCGGGAGTCAGCTCAGTGCCGGTCGAGATGAGTTTGAAGGGCTGCTGCTGTTCAGATGGTGCAGTTGGCAGGGTAAGCAAGGGGAGGAAACTTCAGTGCTGGAGACTCTGCAGAGCACAGGTTGTGGGAACCCATCAGCGGAAATAAAAATGCCCAGTGAACGTTACTTTTTTTTTTGTGATGGAGTTTCACTCTTGCCCAGGCTGGAGTGCCGTGGTGCGATCTCAGCTCATTGCCCCCTTCCCGGGTTCAACTGATTCTCCTGCCTCAGTCTCCTGAGTACCTGGGATTACAAGCATGCACCACCATGCCTGGATTTTTTTGTATTTTTAGTAGAGGCAGGGTTTCACCATGTTGACCAGGCTGGTTTCGAACTCCTGACCTCAGGTGATCCACTCACCTCGGCCTCCCAAAGTGCTGGGATTACAGGCATGAGCTACTGCACCCAGACTTGCTCCATTGCTTAGGCTGGAGTCCAACGACATGATCTTGGCTTACTGCAACCTCCCCCTCTGTGGTTCAAGAGATTCTCCTGCTTCAGCTTCTGAGTAGCTGGAATTACAGGTGCCCACCACCATGCCTGGCTAATTTTTGTATTTTTTTTTTTTTTTGAGACAGAGTTTCACTCATGTTACCCAGGCTGGAGTGCAATGGCACAACCTCGGCTCACCGCAACCTCCGCCTCCTGGGTTCAGGCAATTCTCCTGCCTCAGCCTCCTGAGTAGCTGGGATTACAGGCACGCACCACCATGCCCAGCTAATTTTTTTTTTTGTATTTTTAGTAGAGACGGGGTTTCACCATGTTGACCAGGATGGTCTCGATCTCTTGACCTCGTGATCCACCCGCCTCGGCCTCCCAAAGTGCTGGGATTACAGGCTTGAGCCACCGCGCCCGGCCTTAATTTTTGTATTTTTAGTAGAGATGGGGTTTCACCATGCTGGCCAGGCTGGTCTCTAACTGCTGACCTCAAGCAATCCACCCACCTCAGCCTCTCAAAATGCTGGGATTACAGGCATGAGCCACTGCACCTGGCCGAGCATGATATTTCCGAGGTGCATCTGTGCCATAGCATGTATCAGTACTTCACTTTTTCTATGGCCAAATAATACCCGTTATATGGATAGACATTTTGTTTATCCACTCATCAGTTGATGGACATTTGGGTGTCATTTTATTATTTTTAATTGTAATAATTCAGTAATGCATGTTTACATCCTCAACATAAAAGCAGCAAACAACATAGATATCCATGAAGTAAAACGTTAAAGCCTCCCACACTTCTCCTTCAGTTCTTCTCTCCAGAAGTGACTGCAGGGGACAATCTGTCCTGAATGTCTCTGGCAATATATGTTAGATTTTTCATATCACTTCCTATTCAACCATGGGCGCCACAGGGCATGGCTCCTCCCTTGGCTGGGGTGATCTATGTGCCTTCTGGGTAAAGTGGGCCCGAGTGTTCATCTGCTCAATGGATCCCTGGGGAGCGTGGGAGAGTCCTGTAGAGGGATGTTTCCTTATTTCTGAGCATCCGTGTTCAGGTGTGGACGGGACAGTGAGTGGCTGGGAGGAAGCCAGAATCAACAGCTCCAGCCCTTTGCGCTACGACCGCCAGATCGGGGAGTTTATAGTCACCCGGGCTGGGCTCTACTACCTGTACTGTCAGGTAAGCCACACCTGGCTGCAGGGGTAACGCAGTAAGGGAGGGGCGAAGGGTTTGCCAGGAGAGTGGGGAACAAGCTTCAAGGCTGGGAGGGTGAGTTGGGGTTTGGGTGGGATGGGATGCCTGAGTCGCTGAGGAAATTGGAAACTGAGGCGAGGGCAGGCAGAGGCCTGGACTCGGCCTGCGGTCCCCACCCAGGTGCACTTTGATGAGGGGAAGGCTGTCTACCTGAAGCTGGACTTGCTGGTGGATGACGTGCTGGCCCTGCGCTGCCTGGAGGAGTTCTCGGCCACGGTGGCGAGTTCCCTCGAGTCCCAGCTCCGCCTCTGCCAGGTGTCTGGGCTGTTGCCCCTGCGGCCAGGGTCCTCCCTGCGCATCCGCACCCTCCCCTGGGCCCATCTCAAGGCTGCCCCCTTCCTCACCTACTTCGGACTCTTCCAGGTTCACTGAGGGGCCCTGGTCTCCCTGCAGTCATCCCAGGCTGCAGACTCCCCTTGGCAGCTCTCTGGGCACCCCAGTCCCGTCCTCCCCACCCTCAGCTGCTCTTTGCTCCAGACCTGCCCCTCCCTCTAGAGGCTGCCAGAGCCTGTTCACTTGTTTTCCATCCCACATAAATACAGTATCCCACTCTTACCTTACAACGCCCCCCACCACCCACTCTCCACCTCACTAGCTCCCAAATCCCTGACCTTTGAGGCCCCCAATGATTTCTTGACTCCCCACTGGCCACAGACCCCCCAAGGCGTCGTGTTCACTGTGTTCTGTGGGCAAAGACGGGTCCAGAAGACCCGACTTCAGGCACTAAGAGGGGCTGGACCTGGTGGCAGGAAGCCAAAGAGACTGGGCCTCGGCCAGGAGTTCCCAAATTCGAGGGGCGAGAGACAAGTTCCTCCCTTGAGAATTCCCTGTGGATTTTTAAAACAGATATTATTTTTATTATTATTGTGACAAAATGTTGATAAATGGATACTTAAGTAGAATAAGTCATAGTCTCTCTCTTTATTGGGGCTCAGGGGACACTCCCAGGTAGCTGGGGGCCATGGGAAGGGGGGAATTGCGGAGTGGCACAGCTGGAATGCCAGGGTGATGTTCAGGTTGGGGCACAGGGACCTCCATGCCTCCAAACCCCAGGAGGGAACAGGAGGTAGAAAGGCACACTGCCCAGGAAAAAAATCAATCCCCCGTCCAGGGTTCAGAAGCGGCCTCTTTCCCTGGGAGGCAGACTTCCTCCTTCAGGGGAATCCCTCCCTGACTGGGAGGAGCAGGGGCCCTTCCTCTTGGTGGCTTCGGGACATTCAGCAGGTGCTGGCACAGGCCCTGGCTGGGAGGTGGGGCGGGCAGGAGCCAGCCCGGAGGGGGGCTCAGAGTCAGCAGGCACGTGGGAGGGAAGCCCGGACCCTGTGTGCTGGGGAGGAATCCTGCATCGGCCGGGGTCTTGGGGCTGCTGCTTTGTCTCTTCGTCCAGAGCCTTATGTAAGAGCTTTTCTCGGGAAACAGGAAGTCCTGCTTGCCAAGTTCAGCACAGGGAGTAGTGCAGGCCTTATTCCAACACACCCGGCCCAGCCTTAACCCCAGAACTCAGCCAGTTTCTTGCTTCCGTGCCCCTGGTTCTCCTCCCCACTGAGCTCACCCCTCCTTTCCCGCTTTCAGTCACCCCTAGTAAACTGCCCCAACAATCTCTCCTGTGCCTGAGCCGGAGGGTCTTCCACCCTCACCACCACCCTGAACACTGCCCAGCTTGGCCCCCCATCCTGCTCCTGGCACCATGCCCTCTAGCCAGACAACCTTCCCTCCCCCAACCCTAGGGCCGCCCCAGGGTTCCTGCGCACTGGCCGCTCCTCCTGGATGTCACTGGCAGCCCTGTCCTTCCTAGAGGGACTGGAACCTAATTCTCCTGAGGCTGAGGGAGGGTGGAGGGTCTCAAGGCAATACTGGCCCCACGACAGAGTGCCAGGAGCACTGACAGTACCCTTAGCTTGCTTTCCTCCTCCCTCCTTTTTATTCTCAAGTTCCTTTTTATTTCTCCTTGCGTAACAACCTTCTTCCCTTCTGTACCACTGCCCGTACCCCTACCCGCCCTGCCACCTCCTTGCTACCCCACTCTTGAAGCCACAGCTGTTGGCAGGGTCCCCAGCTCATGTCAGCCTCATCTCCTTTCTTGCTAGCCCCCAAAGGGCCTCCAGGCAACATGGGGGGCCCGGTCAGAGAGCCGGCACTCTCAGTTGCCCTCTGGTTGAGTTGGGGGGCAGCTCTGGGGGCTGTGGCTTGTGCCATGGCTCTGCTGACCCAACAAACAGAGCTGCAAAGCCTAAGGAGAGAGCTGAGCCAGCTGCAGAGGACAGGAGGGCCCTCCCAGAAGAGGGAAGGGTATCCCTGGCAAAGTCTCCCGGAGCAGGTGAGTGAGGGGAGGAGGGTGTCCGGGAGAGATGGATGGTTAGCATGTGGGGTCCCTGGGCCTCCTGGTCTGCAAAGTTTCAAGGGGTTGCAAGAGAGGGTCTCCAGTTTGGAAGTCAGGGGTGCGGCCATTTCAGGAAAGGAAACTTAAAGGTGAATGCTTCTCAAACCTAACAAATCCTGGAGGGCAGCCAGCACCAACACTCAGGTTGCTGGGAAAAAGTGCATGAGAGATTTGAGGCATTTCGGGGGCAGGGGAAGGCTGGGAAGGAAGGCTGGGACCTTTGCATCTTAATCTAACCCTGACCCTCTTTCCATGAGCAGAGCTCCGATGCCCTCGAAGCCTGGGAGAATGGGAAGAGATCCCGGAAAAGGAGAGCAGTGCTCACCCAAAAACATAAGAGTGAGGCTTCCAGGGTGCAGCAGGGGTGGGAGGTGATCAAGCAGCAGGGGGATTGTAAGCCCGAGTCAGGGTGAGGGTGGAGGCGGCCAATAGCACAACGGGGGAAGGTGGACACAGCTGAGATTCCCTCCTTCTCTCCTCAGAGCCGCGCTCCATCCTGCACCTGGTTCCCATTAACGTCACCTCCAAGGGTGAGCACTATCTTAAATAATGGCTTTGGGGAGGGGCAATGACCAGGAACTCTGGGGCTGGCACTTGGGCTCAAGCGATTCTTATAAGTGGAAGGGAAAGCATCTGAGAGTGCCAAGAAATCCTGACCAACATGCTATGTCCAGATGACTCCGATGTGACAGAGGTGATGTGGCAACCGGCTCTAAGGCGTGGGAGAGGCCTACAGGCCCAAGGATATGGTGTCCGGATCCGGGATGCTGGAGTTTATCTGCTGTATAGCCAGGTAACCCCAACCACACTGAGCTTCAGAAGGGAGGCTCTTCGCTGTTCTTCCAGAGCCTCTTTGGCCAGCTCCCAAGGGTTCGTGACCCCTCTATTCATATCAAACCTGGCAGACCCTTCTTTCTTCCATGGTTAGCGCTCCTGAGGCCTCTGAGAACTGAGCCAGGCTATCCTGTTTTCTTCAACATCTCCCTTCCCTGCCAGGTCCTGTTTCAAGATGTGACTTTCACTATGGGTCAGGTGATATCTCGAGAAGGCCAAGGAAGGCAGGAGACTCTATTCCGATGTGTAAGAAGTATGCCCTCTCACCCAGACTGGGCCTACAACAGCTGCTACAGCGCAGGTGAGAGCTGGGCAGGCAGTGGCGAGCAGGCCATCTCTGACCCCGGGATAGCAGTGCAGGGAGCTGCTGCTAGGAGGTTGGAAGCCTAAATAGAGGCGGGTCTGAGGAGTGAAGTGCAGAAGGCCTGGGTCCTTCCAGGAGGCAGAGGAAAGGTGGAGCTGATGGCAGGGGGAAACTGGCATCTGGATGGCTGTATGTCACTGCGAATCTACCTTCTCCCTTTTCTCAGGTGTCTTCCATTTACACCAAGGGGATATTCTGAGTGTCATAATTCCCCGGGCAAGGGCGAAACTTAACCTCTCTCCACATGGAACCTTCCTGGGGTTTGTGAAACTGTGATTGTGTTATAAAAAGTGGCTCTCAGCTTGGAAGACCAGGGTGGGTACATATTGGAGGCAGCCAAGAGCTGAGTATATAAAGGAGAGGGAATGTGAGGGAACAGAGGTTTCTTCCTGGGTTTGGCTCCCCGTTCCTCACTTTTCCCTTTTCATTCCCACCACTTAGACTTTGATTTTATGGATATCTTGCTTCTGTCCCCCATGGAGCTCCGAATTCTTGCGTGTGTGTAGGTGAGGGGCGGGGGACGGGCGCCAGGCATTGTCCAGACCTGCTCGGAGCCCACTGGAAGCATCCAGAACAGCACCACCATCTAGCGGCCGCTCGAGGGAAGCACCGCCTGTTGGCTCAAGTCCACGAAGCCGCCCTCTTGCTAGGGAAAACCCCTGGTTTTCCATGCCACACCTCTCTCCAGGTGCCCTCTGCTTCCTCACCCCATAAGAAGTCTTATCCTACGTCCTTCTCTCTGTCTATCGGGCCCCAGTTTCCATCACTATCTCCAGAAATGTATCTATTATGCGCCCGTCTACAGGGCGTGCCCGACGACGACGGTGCCTTCGTAGTCACATTACTCTTCGGGTCCCAAGTTAAGGCTTTCATGCGCTCCACTGCCCCGGCGTGGCAGGCCACTCCAAGTCCCTCCGGACTGGAACTGGTTTCGGAGGGAGCCTTGGATGAATCGTACGCCCTGGTGTAGGTGTTGCCTTACTCCTCTGAGTTCTTCTTTCTGATCAAGCCCTGCTTAAAGTTAAATAAAAAAGAATGAATGACACCCCGGCTCCATTTCCCCCACTGTCTTGCCTCAGCCCGGTCCTCGTACGGGGATAGAGGCGCGCTCCCTACCGGACTAAGATACTAGCGGCACGGTTAGGCTCAAGCCCGGAAGCGCAAAAGAGAAACCCACGCGCGGCCGGGCGGTGGATGTGCGCAAGCGCAGCCCTGCAAAGCGCTCTGGGCCGGCCCGTTCCTTGACGCCGGCGTCCTCGGGTAGGCGGGGCTGGGCGCGTGGTGGCCGCGCCGGCGCTGTTCGCCGGGCGTGACGTACTAATCGTGCGCGGCCGCTGCCGGTGGGCCCGGGGCTCGCGGGAGGGGAAGAAGGAGGAGAAGGGGGAGGAGTGGCGCCGGCGGCGGCGGCGGCGGCGGGGGTGGAAGTGGAAGCTGAAGCTGAAGCAGAGCCAGAGGCGGCGCGGTGGGGTGCTCGGCGGCGCGGCACGCGGCCCAGAAGCGTTGGAATCTTGAATTAAGACGGCTGCGCCTAAAGACAGCAGGAGTGGCGGGGCCGCCGCCGTCGCCGGAGAGATGAGCCGGGAAGCCTGAGGCCGGAGACGCCCGCCCTCGGGCCCGTCCGCCCGGCTTCCCCGCTCCCGGTGAGGATGCCCCCTCCCCTCCCCCCAGCCATGCCGTGGCCTCTCCCATTCCTGAGCCTCGCTCCCACCGAACTGGGCCCAGAGGCCCGCGAAGGGGCTTCTTAAGGCCCGTGTGCGCAGAGCCATCCAAGCTCGTGGGACCAGACTAGTGCCAGGATGCGTTCTGGTTCCCGAGGATGAAGTAGGAGGGGGCTGGGCCTGCCTGGCTCGTGCTCCCCGTTCTGTCCCAGCGCCTTGACTGGGCTCTCTTTAAGTTTCCTTCAAACTCCTTCCCTGTTCATCAGCCTCTATCCCCCTGAACCATAGCCTTGGCATCCGCCTGCCCATGACCCCCGTTCATCCAAGGTGTTAGAGAACTGTCTCCCACTCCAGCCCACAGTTTCCCCGTGCAAGTTGTATTTTCTTCGGGTACCACCGTATCATGTCCCTGAGGAAAGAAATCGCCCTTATTGGGCCCTCAAAGGACAGCCCTGATGGTATTAAAGTAACAAAGTAGAACTTGGCAGTGCTATTGGGTTTAGCCTGGGGATCTTAGAAGTAAGATTTCTGAGGCCTGCTGCTTAGCCATTTGCCCTTGTTTCTAGACAGGGGAGAGATGATGACACAGACCCTAAAGGGCACCTTGTAGACTATGTTAACTGGGAAGATCTGAGTTAGGAGTTTTGCAGGGTTTTTTTTCCTTTTCTTTATTTGCATCTGAATCCAGAGGAGGCATGCCCAGGAAGAGAAGCAGGATCTGCGGGGCGACGATGCTTAGATTCTGATACCCTGATCTTTGTTTTTCAGGGTACTGGAAGATGAAAGAGACTATACAAGGGACCGGGTCCTGGGGGCCTGAGCCTCCTGGACCCGGCATACCCGCAGCTTATTCAAGTCCCAGGCGGGAGCGACTTCGTTGGCCCCCACCTCCCAAACCCCGACTCAAGTCAGGTGGAGGGTTTGGGCCAGATCCTGGGTCAGGCACCACAGTGCCAGCCAGACGCCTCCCTGTCCCCCGACCCTCTTTTGATGCCTCAGCAAGTGAAGAGGAGGAGGAAGAGGAGGAGGAGGAGGATGAAGATGAAGAGGAGGAAGTGGCAGCCTGGAGGCTGCCGCCCAGATGGGGTCAGCTGGGAACCTCCCAGCGGCCCCGCCCTCCCCGCCCCACTCATAGAAAAACCTGCTCACAGCGCCGCCGTCGAGCCATGAGAGCCTTCCGGATGCTGCTCTACTCAAAAAGCACCTCGCTGACATTCCACTGGAAGCTTTGGGGGCGACACCGGGGCCGGCGGCGGGGCCTCGCACACCCCAAGAACCATCTTTCACCCCAGGAAGGGGGTGCGACGCCACAGGTGCCATCTCCCTGTTGTCGTTTTGACTCTCCTCGGGGTCCACCTCCACCCCGGCTGGGTCTGCTAGGTGCTCTCATGGCTGAGGATGGGGTGAGAGGGTCTCCACCAGTGCCCTCTGGGCCCTCCATGGAGGAAGATGGACTCAGGTGGACTCCAAAGTCTCCTCTGGACCCTGACTCGGGTAAGGTGGGAAAGGGGCAGGGGATGGGGTTAGGGAGGGATAAGAGCCTGGAGTACCAGGAGCCAGTTGCTGGGGTGAGAGGTGGGCTGAAGGAAAGTAGGATGGTGGGGTGACGGCTTCAGAAGAGCTGCAAAATGTTTTCATTAAGCCTCACTGTGAGCAGAAAGTAAGCCTGGGAGTAAGCCTGTTTTCCAGTCAGAGCTAGGAAACAGAATCCTTAAGTAGTTATCCTGTGGTCTTGTGTGCGGATAAGAAAGGGAGCTATGGTGTAGAAAAATCCGCCCACTTGGCCGGATGCGGTGGCTCACGCCTGTAATCCTAGCACCTTGGGAGGCCAAGGCAGGCAGATCATGAGGTCAAGAGATGGAGACCATCCTGGCCAACATGGTGAAACCCCGTCTCTACTAAAAATACAAAAATTAGCTGGGCAAGGTGGCATGCGCCTGTAGTCCCAGCTACTCGAGAGGCTGAGGCAGGAGAATTCCTTGAACCCGGGAGGCAGAGGTTGCAGTGAGCCAAGATTGTGCCATTGCACTCCGGCCTGGCGACAGAACAAGACTCTTGTCTCAAAAAAAAATAAAAGAAAAAAATTCCTGTCCACTCAACATGCCTCTGGCCTCTCAGTATAAGAACCCCTGTGTGTACATCTCCAGAGGGTACTATTCCCATTCTGGTGCGATGGGATCTCTCCCAGTAGTGGAGTACATCATCTTACAGTTGTGAAAGAATGTTTCCCTTTTGGAGAACTCCAGCCAAACAATTTCAGGCTCGCTACATCTGTATTAGGTATTCGAGTATTCACTGAGCCTTTACAACATGCTGGGTACTATGCTAGGTGTTTGGCATATAGTGGTGACAGATACCCTGAAGTTTACTTTCTAAATGGTAATCCTTTTGCTTTCTTCCTGTGAGTAGGAACTGTCTCTCTGTCCCTGTAGAACCTCTTGGACACGTCTGTCTCATGCCTCATGGGGTCCTGTTTCTTGCAGTGGGATTGACGTTGGTAGATTCTGCTTCAGTGTATCTTCCTGGCGGTCTTACTGGAATGCATGAGTTAACTCTGTCATCCCACTGTCCTTTCACTCGGGCCAGTCTCTCATCCCCATTCCATTTCCCCTGTCCTATAGGCCTCCTTTCATGTACTCTGCCCAACGGTTTTGGGGGACCATCTGGGCCAGAAGGGGAACGAAGCTTGGCACCCCCTGATGCCAGCATCCTCATCAGCAATGTGTGCAGCATCGGGGACCATGTGGCCCAGGAGCTTTTTCAGGGCTCAGATTTGGGCATGGCAGAAGAGGCAGAGAGGCCTGGGGAGAAAGCCGGCCAGCACAGCCCCCTGCGAGAGGAGCATGTGACCTGCGTACAGAGTAAGGAGCCCTTGAACTAGCTAGTTTCTCTCCCTCCACTGACTCCCAGGGTCAAGTCTGGAGGCCTCACCCCGCTCCTCTCTCTCTTTCTGCTCAGGCATCTTGGACGAATTCCTTCAAACTTATGGCAGCCTCATACCCCTCAGCACTGATGAGGTGGTGGAGAAATTGGAGGACATTTTCCAGCAGGAGTTTTCCACGCCTTCCAGGTGAGGCTTGCAAGCCCTCCTTCAAAGGCGGGCCAGGGTCTGGGGGATGTGGAGAGAATGCTGTTGCCTTTTTTCCCATAGTGCTGTACTTGGGGAGGAGAAAGCTAGAGCTGAAAGGGAGGACTCTGCAGGCAAGGTGCCAAGTCCTTGTAAACTGACTGGGAGAGTCTTTACCTGGGACCCTGAAATGTTATACTTGAGTAGTCACGTTTATCTTTCTGGGGAGTGGGCCTTTAAGCAGGTCCTCAGAAGGACCCATCATGACCCCCAAAAAAGGGGTCAGTTACAGTTTTTATTCTAGGGAGTAGTAGGTATTTCTGTGTGTCCCAGCTGTGTCATCTCTTGTGTGACTCCACCCTTGGCCTACTCAGGAAGGGCCTAGTGTTGCAGCTGATCCAATCATACCAGCGGATGCCAGGCAATGCCATGGTGAGGGGCTTCCGAGTGGCCTATAAGCGGCATGTGCTGACCATGGATGACTTGGGGACCTTGTATGGACAGAACTGGCTCAATGACCAGGTGAGAAGGGGTGGAGAAACAGGCCTGAGTGGGGATTCAGGGAGCAGGGTGTCGGGGGCCCTCTGCATGGGGGAGCCCTGTGCCCACGCCACACCCTCCATGGCAAGTTGCCACCCATCTTCTCCCCAGGTGATGAACATGTATGGAGACCTGGTCATGGACACAGTCCCTGAAAAGGTAGGCCCACCCAGATAGGTCCACACCCAGAAGAACTTCTGCAGCTTTAAGCAGCTTTTTAAGCCCTTTTCATCTCTTCCATTTTATATAAAGAGGGTCTCTGTCTTAGGGAGAGAGGTGGTAGGTAGTAGTGTATTAATTTCAAATCTGTAATCTTGGCCCTGGATTTAACAGTTGTTTTCCTTTCTGCCAGTAGTCAGTGTTTTTCCCTATGGCCAGCCCAAAGAATTAGGATGGGATCCTATTACAAGCTTAAAAAAAAAAAAAGGCTGCTAGGTGCAGTGGCTCACGCCACTTTGGGAGGCCCAGCGCTTTGGGAGGCCGAGGTGGGAGATCACCTGAGGTCGGGAGTTTGAGACCTGTCTGACTTAACATGGAGAAACCCCGTCTCTACTAAAAATACAAAATTAGCTGGGCTTGGTGGTGCATGCCTGTAACCCCAGCCACTGGGGAAGCTGAGGCAGGAGAATTGCTTGAACCGAGGAGGCGGAGGTTTTGGTGAGCTCAGATTGCACCATTGCATTCCAGCCTGGGCAACAAGAGCGAAACTCCATCTCAAAAAAAAAAATAGACAAACAACTTTGCTGGGCATGGTGGGTCATGCCTATAATCCCAGCACTT